GTTAAATCCATCCATCACCTCCTCAATGTCTACCAGCCTGGCACGTGCTCAAGTCCAGTTGATCTGATGAGCACAGGGATTATCCTAAACAGGCGCCGTGCCATCTGGGGAGCAGCTGATCAACAATATTTGTTACTCTTCTTCGAAACAACCTCCCCACCCACCCCATCGCCACTCCCACACCACCACTGCTCCACCCGTTAAGACCCTATTCCCCATTGCACCCACTGCAGGTGGCAGTAAAAGCAAGTCCTGCAAGACTAACATTGGTCGTGCTTTCAGCCACTACGCCCCGAAGTTTTGTAACTCTCCCTCAATCCCTCCGCCTTGCCCCCTCCTCCCTCGCTTTTAAATCCCACTTAAAGACCTACCTTTTCTGATCGTGCTTACGGTCACCTCCCTCTTCCCCCCGGCTCAGGGTCAGACTCCGGCACTGTCAAGCGCTCTGGGACCCTACCTCATGCGAAGGGAGCTATATAAATACAAGTTGTTGCTTCTGTTGTTGAAAAGAGAAGGGAGTTTCTCCCAACGACCCGGACAATAATTTGTTTGGGTTAAATCTGTGTGGCTTCGAGATATTAAAAAGAAATCTCCGAAAATAACGCAGATCTGCGGAAAATTCTTCAAATGGAGTTTGGGTTTTCGAAACCTGTTTCTTTTCAAGAACTGCAGAGAGAGAGCGAGAGAGAGAGAGAAAGAAATGTTTGCAAACCGAGACTGTGTTTTAAAAACGGTTTATCTTTGATCAGCCTGGTTATCTGACACACACGGAAACCCGTCACCACACTCCACACTCTCCAAACCAAACGAGTTTCACACCTCAACAGAAATTTCCATTTGCACACTCATTCTCGATCCCGCTTACCTAAACCTAGAGTTTAGACCCATTTTGGCGAGAGCCAAGGCTAATAGACCCCAGAGTGTCCATTTGGATAATAATAATAATAATAATAATCCTTGAGTTTGATGTAGCTCCTTATCGCGTTGTTAAGACATCTCGAAGCCCTTCACGGGGTATACTGTAAAGTGAATTGACTTGCGTGTTTAGTCAGCAAAACGTAGCAGCCAATTGCGCACAGCAGTGTCCCACAAATTGCTTGGGTTGAACAACCCCATTTGTTTTTGTAATTGTTCTGTTTTTGGGTACCACTGGAGTTCAGTCAAAGCTGCAAATACTGAGAAGCTTCCTGCTGCTTGTCCAGCTACGGGTTTTCCCATCCATTAGGGCTTTAAGGGATAACAGGAGCAGAGCGGGAAGAATTTCGGATTCCAGACTGGCCTTACTCTGGGATGCTAACCTGCATGAGGGTGGGGGGGGGGGCTATGTAAATGAAAGTTGTTGTTATTGCTCCAAGTCTTGGCAATGAGCCAGACTGGCTGGTCTGTCACCAACAGTGCCTGTGCAATACTGAGGACACACCTGGCACAGGAACCAGACTACAACAGCAAGGAATTGCGTTTAGGAGGACGTCCCAAGGCGTTGGACAGCGAAGGTTTTGCATCAGAGCTGAGTCAAGAGGGGTGGACTGAGTTTGGGAGGATCACCGAAGGCATGGTGAAACAGGGACGGAGGGCGGGCGGTCTTGAGACGGGCCTTGAAGGAGGCAAGGGAGCAGACGAGGAGGAGGGGCTTCAGTATTGGCTGTGCAGATAGTCCTAAAGGCCTAGTGGCCAATAGTGGGATGGGCAGGGCGGGGGGACATTGAGTAGGTCAGTATCTGCTAAGCGGAGGGAGCGGAGACTGTTGGTAAGTTTTAGTAGGTCATAGAGGTAGGGAGGAGCAAGGCCGAGAAGCCGTTGGAGCCGGGCGAGGGTGGGGTTGATGGGGTCACGAAGCCTGGCGCAGGAAAGGACACAAGTTGTCACCTCGCAGGCAACTCCACAACAAGAGGCCCCATTGATCTCTAGATCCCTCCCTCACCGCCCCCTCCCCCCAAACCAATACAATACGAGACAGGTTTACATTTATAGAGCTCCTTTCACTGGGAGGACATTCTGTTTGTGGGAAGCTGCTGTGTGCAATTGGCCTCCACGTTTCGCCCACAAAATACATGGTCACTACACTTTTCAGTGTATCCTGTGAAGCGCTTTGAGACGTCTCGGAGACGTGATAAGGCGCTGTATCGAATGCAAGGATCATTACTATTATTACGTCAGGTGGCTTCTTGAACTGTCCAGGTCAAAGCTCCTCAGAAATGTTGCCAGTCACTGTCCACACCCCCTCAGCTCACTCCGCATCTCACACGCACTCACACACATGCACACACACACCGCGCGCGCCACAGGCACGTGCACACACGCGCGCACACGGATACGCGTACACGCATGCGCACAAGAGCACACGCGCACACACTCACTCCCATACGCGCACACATGAGCACAAACACACGATACGTGTGCACACGCACACAGACATCCGCACGACACTTATTGCAATCTTTTTATTGTAAACGACGGTGAGTCTGACTCTTTCAGACGTCTTCTAAGGGCGGTGAGGACGGATTGCCCAATTTGAGGCTGAGATAATAGGAAGTTGGGTGTTGACATCGATTACTGAAAGTGCCAGTTTCTTGAAATAGTTGCTTCTGTTATGCTGAATTGCACACGAAAGAAAGTTGGGGGAGGGGGAGAGAGGGTGAGGGGGGGGTTGGGGGGGACAGGGAGGAACAGATGAGGGTTGTAGGGGGGAAGTGAGTAGATGAGGAGGTGCAGTCAGCGCGGGGGAGTGGAGGAGAGGGGAGGGAGTGGGCGGAGAGACGAGAAAAGGTGTAGATAAAATCGAGAGCTGATTTGTAAAAATAATAAAAAGTTCCATCTTTTTTTTTCCACCGAAATCTCCAGCGATTTGGAGGTTTAGAGACTCGATGGCTATTTTTAGCAATCCGTCAGCGAGCTTAATAGAGCTTGAATTTGATACAGATCTTATAACCGTCAAATCATCTCCTCTTTACAGGATATTGCTGCTAAGGGTAGTGAACCCTTCTCCATCACCCCCGCGCCGGCCCACCACCACCCCCACGCCCCTCACACACTTCCCTCCCACCACCCCCCAAATAAATCTATTTTGCGGGCGGAAAAGTTCTGGGCACAGCGATAAGATGTTCAACCGAAAGGTCCCGTCTGCCTGTTCAGGTGGACCTTAATGGTCCCATGGCACTATTGGAAAAAGGACAAAAAGTTGAGCAAATAAATTTCCCTACTGTTTGGCCGGTTGTTCGTCGATTGGCGGATCGCCTTTCCAGCACTGTAAAAAAAATAGTAATAATGGTTACTCAATCCACGACTGTTCGTGGGGACGCTGCTGTGCGCAATTGGCTGCCGCGTTTTGCCCACAAAACATACAGTCAACTCATTTTACAGTATATTCTGTGAAGCACTTTGAGACGTCTTGAAGATGTAATAAAGCTCTGTATGAAATGCAAGGATTATTATTATTATTATTATCATCATAAATGAATGACGGTGAAGGGAATGAGCAATTAGTCCGGAAAACTCCCTTTTCCTACCACCATATAAACAGTAATACCCCTCCTTTACAGTTCTTTGTGAGACATTGAGCTTTGAGACATCTGAATGACGTTATCAAGTGCAAGGATTATTATTGTTATAGTGTGGAAGATTCTTCAACGTGAACAGGCAGGCACAGCCCGAGTTTAGCATCTGATCCAAAGAACAACATTTCTGACAACACAACTCTACAACTCTCAAACTCACACAGAAACATAAACAGAAACACAGAAACAGGAGGAGACCACTCAGCCCCTCGAGCCTCTTCCGCCATTCTATTAGATCATGGCTGATTTGTATCTCAACTCCAATTACTCGCCCTGACCCCGTATCCCCTGATACCCTGACCTAACAAATATCTATCCACCGCAGTCTTGAAAATGTGAATGGATCCAGCCATAATCCACAGCCTTTTGGGGGAGAGATTTCCAGATTTCCACTGCCCTTTGGATGAAAAACTACTTGATTTCACTCCTAAATGGCCCAGCTCTAATTTTAAGATTATGCCCCCATTTCCCCAATTTAGTGTCATCCTGGACTGTGAGCTCAAAGTCCCAACATAGGGGCTTGAACCAGAGGCGAGGTGGGTGAGGAACTGACTCCCAATGCTACATGGCTTTGCTTTGTATCTCTCTTTGTGTCACGAACAACAACTTTTTTTGACCAAATCGTAGGAACAAATCTGTCAAATCCGGTTTCAAATCACCCGCAAAACAAACACATAGTCACTCCACTTCACAGTACATCCTGCTCTTTGGGATGTCCTCCTTGAGGTGAAATACGCTGTACCAAATGGAAGGATGAAGGTATCCTGTAGGGTAGTGTTTAGAGCACTCGCCTCGCAAACGAAAGGACCCGGGTTCGATTCCCAGGCAAGGCGACTCATTAGGCAAGTTTTCGTACTCTACCCGCCTCTGTTTACCTAACAGTAAGTGGGAACCCCTACGTACTGTTAGGTAAACAGAGGCTTTTGGAGTTAGGAAACTTGCTCAACGTTTCGCCCTGCCGGGAATCGAACCCAGGTCCTTCTCGCTTGCGAGGCGAGTGCTCTAACTACTGATTCCCGGGCAGGGTGAAACCTTAGACAAGTTTCCTTACTCCACACACCGCTGTTTAGGTAGCAGTAAGTAGGAACCCGGTTGCTAGTCGATTGGCGGATTACATTTCCGGGAGTAATATTCCCTTCCAAAAATAATAATAATTTGGTCACTCGATCCACGACTGTTTGTGGGACGCTGATGTGAGCAATTAGCTGCTGCGTTTCGCCCACAAAGTATACGGTCAATTCACTTCACAGTATGTCCTGTGAAGCGCTTTGAGACTTCTCAACGATGTGGTAAGTCGTTATATCCAATGTAAGGATTATTATTAGTACTATTATTATTACTAAATCAAGGGAATGGGGGAGGGGGAGAGGAGGTGAAGGGGGAACGAAACGTGTCACCAGCAGGAAATATCTACTTCTGGTTCGGGAAACAGCACACGATGCTGTTTCCGAAGCACCGACATTAGATTCTGTTCCTGTCTACAAGTGGTGTGCGTTGCATTTCCTCTGGTGTTAAGGAAGTCAAGAGATTCTCGTAGATAGATCATTGCAACTCTGAGACCGATCGCCACGGTCTGTCCTTCAGTGAGCTGAAGTTTAGGCAACCTGTCTTTGTGTTTATCGGGAGGGGAGAGGGAGAGAGCGGGGGGAAGAGTGTGAGAAGGATCAATACACTTTGCAAAATGATACGCAGGAAGGCTTCAAATGTTTCAGATCGGGAGAAACACCAAAAACCTAAGGTGAGTTAAACAAACTTCTCATTTTTTTGCTCAGTGTGGATGGTTCAGTCGCTGTGACATTTCCGCCGGGTCGGTTAGTAGAAACTTGTGGGCAGTGAGTAGCCTGGTTAGTGTTTTTTTTTAAAAGGGCTGGTGTGTTGAACGAGCACTTGGATGAGCAGCTCTGCTGCTTGATCATTGCGACTCCGGGACTCTGTCCTTCGGTGAGCTGAAGTTTAGGCAACTTGTCTTCTTAGTTCATTGGGAGGGGAGAGGAGAGGGAAAGAGGGAAGAGAGCGTGAGAAGGATCAACAACAATCGCAACAACAAATTACTCTTGCACAGCGCCCTTCACGTTGGAAAGACATCCCAGGGCGCTGGACAGTGAGGATTTTTTGGACCCGAACTGGGAGTTGAGGTCAGGAGGGGTGGAGGGCGGCCAAAGGCAAGGTTGAAGAGAAAGGTCTTTAGACGCGACTTGACGGGAAGGGGCTTGAAGGTCAATACACTGAGTTGTTTCGTCTAAATTGTTTAGTCTAAGCGCTCTGGGGCGCTACCCTGGGTGAAGGGGCTATGGTTTTAGAAGAAGTTGCAGTCAACACAATATAACACATTCAGATAGCACCTTTCACGTCGAGAGGACAGTCAGTTTAGAGATTAAGTCGGGCAATATTTTCTCAGAATGTGGGTTATGAAAATGTGGGTCACACTGCACCAGAAGGGAATGTTTAACAGGCAGAGGGTATAGCGACTTGGGAATTTCCACGTGCGGGTGGGATGCGTGGAATTCTCAGCTTGGTTTGGATACGTTGGGTATTGCGGGAAATCCGCTCTCCTCTCCCCCNTCTCTAGTTGATCTCCATTATCGTGGTGAAGTGCTTTGAGATGTTATTCTATGCGAAAGTCGTCATCAAAGTGCTTAAAAAAAATCACTTGCCTACAAGTTACGCAGTAACTCTTGAGAAATGCTTTGAGATGTCCTCCAGACGTGAAAGGCGCTACATCAAACTCAAGCCATAATTATTAATATTTATCACTTGTAAGTCCATGTTGTTGCTGCTGTTAACTCAATGAACCCTTTAGAAAAGGGACAGTTCAGAGTGTTGACCAATTGCACAGACAAAGAGATACGTATTTAAGAGGGTGTACAAGGCAGAACGCCCAAGGCAAAGGGATTTGGGTAAAAATTTCCTCAGGTCACTCAGTATTGCTTTACTCACAGGACTCTTTCTTTCTTTCTTCCCTCCCTCCCTCCCTCCCCCCCTCGTTCGCTCGCTCCCTCCCTCCCTCGGTTCTCCCTTCTATCTACACTCTTATAGCTGCTGAACACCCAAGCTTGGTGTTACCTAACCATGAGTTGATGCACCTCCTCGTCTCTCGCTCACTCTCTCTCTCTTTCTCTCTCTTTCGCTCTCTACTCTAACCTCTGCATTACCCTGCACTGTCTTTGTGCAAGACCAAGGTTTGTCAATGAGTCCTCGCCAGGCTCCGCTGGCTCCCGATCACCAAACGGATCGATTTCAAGATCCTCTACACTCGTTTTAAATCCCTTCATGCCCTGGCACCTCCCTACCTCTCCGATCTGCTTACCACTCCATCACCCGCTGTCTCTGCTCGGCTGGCTCCGGCCTCCTCTTCGTCCCTCGCCCCCTCCATTCCACCATCGGTCGTTGTTGTTGAGAAACCAATATTTAAGGGTGGGAAGAGGACATTTGTCATCCGTTAACTTAAGATAAGAAGCTTCTTGTTTAAAATAGAAATTTTTATTTAAATGACAAATCTCTTCTAATTACCAGCTGTAAAGCATAGGGACATAAATAGGGGAAATGTCAGATGTTGACAGTCTAGACAATCAATCAATATTGTTCTTCTGCTGCCCTTCAGATAATAATACTACTACTACTAATAAATAATAATTCTTGCATTTTGTTATAGCACCTTATCACGTCTTACAGGTGTCTCAAAGTGCTTCACAGAATGTACCGTAAAGTGAATTCACTGTACATTTTTGGGGCAAAACACAGCAGCCAAGCTTATGAGATAAGTGAGGGCCTTCTCCATCCAATCCTTTCTTGTGACAAATCAAATGCGGTCCGCAAACTTGTCATTTTTCACCACAAAATGAATTTTCACAGTAATCCACCTTCAAGAATGCATTTTCTTCGTATCACTTTACTCCAAAGTTGGGTGTTACCCCAATAAAATCAAACATACTCTACTATCACTGACTGAGATCATTTCAAGACGAGAAATCAACTGATCTATTCTACAGAGACTTCACTCATGTGTTAGTTTAGATGGTGATTATGGACAGGTTACTTAACCATCTCTACCCGAGGTACAAAAATGCACACAAAACGTTTCACAGTGTGTACCTACTGTGTGTATATTTGTGTGTCCGTGTATGTGTAGATTTGCTTACCAACACATATACACGTACAGAGATACATGCACCCACCCACACCCACACACACACACACACACACGGAAGCACTCACTCAACATACGTAACACAAGCATGCAAATACACAACAAATGCACACACAATACACAAATGCACGCAAACGTACACAACGCACGCATACACATGCACAACACGCAAACATGCAGTGAAAAATAAGGTACGTTATGTGATAATTGTGAACTTATAACTAGCTACAATAATAATAATCCTTGGATATGATACAGCGCCTTATCACGTCTTCGAGACGTCTCAAAGCGCTTCACAGAATACGCTGTAAAGTGAATTGACTGTACATTTTGTGGGCGACACATGGCAGCCAATTGCGCATAGCGGCGTCCCCACAAACAGTTGTGTATTAAGTAAGCCAATATTCATTTTTTTTTTTTTTTTGGAGTATTACTACCCAGAAAAACGATCCGCCAATCGACTAAGAACTGGGTTCCTACTTATTGCTAAGGAAACAATGCTTCATTCTGCTCAGGAATCGAATCCAGGTCCTCTTGCTTGCGAGGCGGGAATGTTAGATGGGAAACAAATTATGTTGTTTTCTTCCATTCTCTCAATCATTTTGTATCTCTTTATCTTCTCAATTTCTCCAATATCCTTGGTGACCAGAACTGTACACAGTACTCTTAAGTATGGTCTCACCAATGATTTATACAGTGGCAGGACTACCCCACTATTTCGGCTGCTGTTGATCTTTTGATACATCCGAATATCTGGTTTGCTTTACTCACTGCCAAAGCGCATTGTTAGTAGAGCTTCAATTTATTGTCAATCAGGGCTCCTGATGAAAGAATGATGAAAATGAAGTACTTTACGTTTCTCCACATTGAATTTCATCTGCCACCAATCTGCCCAATTCCAAGTATGTTCAAATCCTCCTGTGACCTATCTTATTCAGCTTTGCAATCTACCACCTTCATTAGCTCGGTGTCATCTGCAAACTTAGCCACTGTGCTTGTGATTTCTAGTTACAACAAATTGCATTTATTCAGGGCGGGCATCTCGTGATGGAGACTTGGAGGAGCCAAGCCAGTCTGGAACCTGAAATTCTTCCCACTATGCTTCTGATATCCCTTGAAGCCCTGATGGATAGGATGCTCATAGCTGGACAAGCGGCAGGAAATTTTGTTAGTGTTTACAGCTTTGGTTCATTGAACTCCAGCAGTACCCAAAAAAAAAACCACAGAAAAATGTGGTCACTCTATCCACGGCTGTTTGTGGGACACTGCTGTCTGCTGCATTTCTCCCACAAAATATGCAGTCGCTTCAGTTTGTAGCATATTCTGTGAAGTGCTTTGAGACATTTCAGCAACGTGATAATACAGGCGCTATATGAAATGCAAGGATTGTTTGAATTTATTTTACACTCTGTATCTTGGCTTAACTCAACAGCTCACTTGACACCTTCGTGACTTTCTGAGACACACACACACACCCCACCCCCTCCTCATCCGCACATTGTGTGTGAAGAAACGTTTCCTGATCTTCTCACGTCTTAACTCGAATTATAAGAAGATGAACAAGCCTATTCGATTTCACGCTCCCCTACATTCACTTCACGTATCCAACACACGTCCCATTGCAGCAACGAACTGTGTCTTAAATGAGTCCCAGGGAATTGGCTTTGACCATCCTTCCTCATAACTCAATCTAGCCGTTCAATATAAAGCCCTTTCACATATCTTTTTTTTACTGTTGAAAGCCAATGCCTTTTCACCATCACTACACAACAGGTTATGGTATCTTGTGCCTCAAAGGGTGTTACAAGTTGACTGAATCTCACAAGATGTTACCATGACAATGTGAGTATGTGGCTCAGCTTTTTCGCGCCCGACCCACCTCCTCCCCGTTCCCCATCGGCAAACACACAGCCCACCCACCCACCCACACCCCCCCCCCCACCCACCCCCGAGAATCAACTCTGTTTAAGGTCAGTCTCAAAGCGCTTCACAGAACATACTGTAAAGTGGATTGCGTTGTATGTTTGTGGGCGAAATGCGGCAGCCAAATGCGCACAGCAACGTCCCACAAATAGTCGCGGATTCAAGTGACCAATGTATTTATTTTTTNAAAATGTAAGGAATTATTACCTCCAGAAAAGCGATCCGCCAATCAACTAACAATCGGGTTCCTACTTACTGCTTGGTAACCAGAGGCGTGTGGAGTAAAGAAACTTGCCCAACGTTTCGCCCCCTGTCCGGTCCTCTCGCTTGCGAGGTGAGCGCTCTAACCGCTGAGCTACAGGACTCCACTTTAAATACTTTGATAATTTAAAACTGTCGCGTTTTGCCCATAAAATACAGTCAAATACAGTATATTCTGTGAAGCGGTTGAGACGTCTCAACGACCTGATATCAAACCCAAAGATGATTATTATTATTATTATTATAAGCTCATTTACTTAATAATTTTCCATAGTTCAAATAGTAGACAGTGTTATGCTTGTGTATAGCAATGACACTATTAAAGTTCGTACGTTCATGAGCGGTAAGCCAACATTTCTGGCTTTTCGTTTCTCTGATGATCGTGGGCGTTGAAACAAAAAAACAAA